GGTGGAGTTGGGGATGATGTGTTGTTGTGGTTGTGGGTGCGCCTAGGCTGTGGATTGCCGCTGCCGCGCTTCGCTCTTCCTCCATGGCGTGCCGTTCGTCTTCTTGTCTATCTGTATGCAACTCGACCCTGCACGACGCTGTCACCGTCGGAAGAGCGTTCCGCCTTGGCCAAGGTTGGTTTGAGCTCCAGCGACACAGACGAAGGGTGGCAGAGAGAACGAAGAAGGGAACGGGAATCGTTGGTCGTTTGGCGTGTCCAACGGTCGGGCCTGCTGACGGGTGGTGGTCCCGCGGGTTTGGGTGTAGGCCTGCGCGGACGGAAGTGGATGCCACAAACGAGCTTGAAACGGCAAAGGCCGGTGAAGCGTGTCACTTCTTCTTCAGTCCTATTGCTTGCCGCTTCAACAGCTTCGCGGCAACGACGGCAAACCAACGCAGACACGCAACAACACGCCGGCGCCGAGGTTGCATCAGGTCGCGCTCGTACGCGGGACCGTCGTGCGGAAATTTTGAAGAAACTGACTTGGCTCCACCACCCGGCTTCTTCTTTCCTTTTCCCGGCCTCTATGGAAAACACGCAGAGCTGCCAATCGGCAGGCGCCTTACCTCTTCTCGGCGCCTGTTCGAAATGATTTCTGTCGACTGGGCGGGGACTCGCACGGGTGGGAGATCAGGGAGAGGCGCTCATGAAGGCCTAGGCCGAAGGGTGATGATGGTGTTCAGGGTTTTTGTGGTTCATTCGGTGCCCAGAACACAGTGTTGTGTTTTGTCCCAACGCGTGGCATCGGCACACGTGAGTAGTTGGGAGAGCCAACGAAAAGCGGTCGTTTTCTTGGTCCCAGAAAGGCAATGTTACCACATCATTTCGAATTGACAGAAGAGACGCTGTGGCCACAGCGTCCAACACTCCGATCGAGCTTGGCCACGGTGGCATAGGTCTAGATCTCTGAGATGTCGTGGCTGCCGCTCTCCTTCCTGCCCGCCGGCGTGATGCGGATGAACTCGGCGTTGGCCTGCATGCCCTCGATGTCGTGCGCGCCGCAGTAGGACACCCCGCTGCACAAACCGCCCACGAGCTGGCGTATGATGCCCGAAACGGCGCCTCTGGGGAGTGATGAGAGAGTGAGACGTAGGCAGCGTGAGGCGGCCCGCGAGGCGCGGCCTTGTCTTTGTCGAAAGGGCACTCGATTTGACATGTGTGGGTGACACTATATTTCCTTATTTGGGTTTAAATCTGCCCATTGGACGCCCTTTTAATGACCTTACCAGTCAAATCCACCAATCAAATCGAAGGTCACAGGAGATATAAAAACGTTTTTGTCCAAAGAGCGTATGCTGGGCAACAAGCTCCAACCAGGAATATATAGGATACAAATATATAAAAAAACATATAAATATAAAGGAAACAATTAGAATTAAAAAATAAGGAAAAAGACATCAAAGTGGTGGCCACGTACCGGTAGGGGACCACGCCCTCCACGCCCTCGGGCACGATCTCGAAGACGTCGTCCTTCAGCTGCTGGCGCTCCTTGTTGCTCAAGTTGGCGCCGTACCCGGCCATGCCGCGGATGATTTTGACCTGCGCGAGTGGCGGAGCGTTAGGTAGCTGAGTTGCAGCCGCACGGGGTCGGGCTGGTGCCGCACGCACCTTCTTGCCGCCTTTGATGAGCGTCTGTCCGGGCGATTCGTCTGTGCCCGCCAGAGAACTGTGTGCCGTGTGTGTTGTGTGTAGAGGAGAAAACGGTGAGTGGCGCGCAGACTTACAACCAACTCAGCGCGCACGGCTTGGAGTACCTTCCGAGCATGACGGTGGAGGCACCGCCGGCGATAGCCTTGGTGATGTCACCGCTGGTCTTGACGCCACCGTCCGCGATG